ACCTATTTTCACGGTTAATAGTTTGCATATTTCAGAAGGGACAAAGTATTTAAAATTCACCCTCTGTTATATAATTGGACTACTCTTGTTGTAACTTGATCTGACAGAAGAGAAGTGACTATATACATCATCATGATTTCACTGTATGGTTATTTCCCCTAGACTGTGTGTTCCGAAACATTTAAAGTTTATTTTTAAAACATCTCATGATTTCTTAACGTCGCCTTAAAATTCAAGTATATTGTTACGATAGCGGAAATCACGTGACTCGCTAGACTCGCGTTTGCTAAACTCGCGCTTTTATAGTATATAAGCCGGCAAATAAAGTGACGGCAACAATTGAATTGCAGACAGAGAGATATAGAGATAGAAAATCGAGTCAAGCCGTAAGTAAAGTGCCTGAATCGTTGTAAATTTTAGAGTGTGTTGAAGTTAAAGTGACTGTGGAAATTAAGTGTATTGCAAAGTTGTATTGAGAACGAATAGTTTTATTTAAGAAAGGACTTGTATCGTTGAAGTTTCTCGGAAAGAATTTCTATGGAAAATTAACAACCAACCAGAGACGTAACAATATAATGACCATTTAAATAAAAACAACAGAAAGATAATTTAAATGTAAATGGGAACAGGTGTGTTTTCCAATCTTATGTAAACATATACCATATGTAAAACAAAATGTTTCTTCACTGGTGTACTTGACACAAACCAATTTTTAGTATTTTTAAGGTGATACCAGGTTGTTGAAATACACTTTTGTGCGTGCAATACTACATTAAAGTACCTAAGAACGCCAATTATAACACTTGTCTTAAACAATGTTTTTGAAGTGTGTCCTACAGACCTACTTCGAAGTTCCGCCTCAGGTCATACAAGCTTCTTTCCAGGTTGTCTTCATGCAGGGATTATCTTTCACGTAATAAATGGTGCCGCTCCACTTTACAACCTAAAATAGTTTTTATATCTGTAAGTCTGATGAATACTAACCTTAAATAATTTCTGAAAATCAAATATTACACCTAGAGTAAAATCCTTTATCATAATTACGTGAACATGATAAATATAAATAAAAACAGCGTTCTCCCAGACAAATAAGGATTTTGTTCTATAATTTTCGCACAAAGCTATTCGAAGCTATTTCCGAATTACTGTCCCTAATTTTCGACAAGAAAACACTAACTGAATCATCGATCGACACACAACTCTGAATATTTAAATTTAATTACCCACACATTTCATGTTATTCCTAGGAATAGCACAAACATCTCTATTCGAAATACCAAGTGACTACATTTCATAGAGATGCGCAAGGTACAGAAGGATTTTCGTTACGGAAACGGAGCAGTCGTAATTATTCCAATGTTAGTAGTGTTACGTATCTGTTTGTTTGATAATTTCCGATAAAAATTCTTTCCGAGAAACTTCAGCGATACAAGTCCCTTCTTGATTAAAACTAGTTTATTCTTTCTCGATACAACTTTTTGTAATACATAGAATTTCCACAGTCACTTTAAATCTAATAACCTTTATAACACACGCTATAAATCGCAGTGATCCACACACTTTACTTACGGTGCCTACTGTTCGCTGGACTCAATTATCTATCTCTTCAATCTATCTCTATCTCTTCTTTATTTGCCGGGCTTATATACTAAAAAAGAGGGCGTCCCGAACAAACTAGGAAATGCACGATCATTCGAGAAACTCCTCGCACACGCCACCAGCGACACGTGACTTCAGCTATCGTAACAGTATTCAAAATTAAGGTACACGTGAAGATGACGTTTTTAAAAGTCACCATTCATTTTAATATCATTCATCGCTCAGAAAATTATGCTTTGATGTATGATACGGAGTATTTTTAATATAAAAACACACAGATTGCATTTTAAAAAATGTAAACTTAAAAAAGAAATCAGAAAGTAAAGTTAAAACAAACTTTTATCAGACGTTTACAACTTTGCTATGTCATCCAAACCTGCTTTATTAACTGTATCACTTTTCATGGTGAAATCTTAAGATTTCATGCACATGTAAACAACAATGAATGTGTGATATTTACTGCTGTTTCAATTTACTAATTGTAGCATTTTCCATAGTTAAATCCTAACATGTTTCACTTTCTTGTAAACAACAATGAATGTGCGATACTTACTGTTGCTTTGATTTATCGATTGTAGCACTTTCTATGGTAAATACTAAAACGTTTCACTCACTTGTAAACGATAACGAATTTGTGATATTTACTCATTTTTCGATTTAACGATTGCAGCACTTTCCACAATGAAAAGCAAATGCCAGTATATGAAATATTCCTCAGTTCTCTATGGAGTCAATCATGTAAAAATATTTAGCTATAATTCAACTTTAACAAAATAATAACTTATAATCTCCTGTTAGATTATAAAATATAAATATGAAAGGGTTCATGAATGTTAAGAAAAGTAACTAATTTTACCTCGAATGAGGCTCTACATGTCAGCCATATACTGTATTATATGTGAACAGAATTATTTATATTGGCTAACATGACGTTCTTTACTTGGAGGCTAGAACAGGCAAAAATGAAAATAACTGCTCAACCTTCACGCACAATGACGTAAAGGCAAAAAACACCCTTGAATATGCCTTTTAAACCAAATTCTATACACACAGTTCTTAGAAAAGAATATGGTGAATCACGCTAACTCTATACAAAACACATATATTCGGTTATTTATAGGTGCGAATTATTTTATTGCTCTGTTTGAAATTAGATCAGTTGAAACTACAAGTATATATATATTAACAGATAAAGATATGTTGAGAAACATCACCTAATAACTGAAAGAAATTAAAATCTACCAGTTGAAATCTTTAGTTTTAACATGTATCAGGTTTGCCAGTTACAAGAAAATTTGTAGTTCCTTTGTAAAATTATAAAATGTTAAAATATCATATACATTTTATAGATAAAACCAAAAGGATTTGCTAAATTAATATAATATCAGATACAAAAATTATTAATTTTCCTTAAATTTGTACAAATTCGTCAGAATTCATGTTATTATAGAATATTCGTTAAATTTTCAAAAATGTTACTTTTTTTTTTTAGAATTTTCGCGCAAGCTAATTTTGAACTGATAAACTATAAGGAAGGCAACAAATCTGACTGCCGACTCTTTAGGCTAATGTAGCTGATTCAATAATGAGTCTTGATCGTTACTCTTAAAACGCACCTCAAATTGCAGAACGAGTTTTTGCAGCAACGGGACGCAAGCCACATATAATCTAATTTACAGTTCCGGCACGCTGACTACTGGGCCACGCCCATACTTCTTCGAAAATATTTTACTTTATTACGTCCACTATGTGGCCTTAGTTAAAAGATTTACATTTTACAAGCAAATACCAATACTGTTAACGATATATATATATATATATCTCACAAGAGGATAAAAACAAAATTAAACTAAAAAACGTTTAATATATATAACTCAATATCTCAAACATCTGTTACGACAGTGGGGTTCACGTGACGAGTATTCTAGAAGATTCGTCAGTGTGTTACGACAGCGGGGGTCACGTGACGAGTATTCTAGAAGATTCCCTAGTGTGTTACGACAGCGGGGGTCACGTGACAAGTATTCTAGAAGATTCCCTAGTGTGTTACGACAGCTAAAGTCAAGTGACGTGGTAGCACGTGTTAAGAGTCAAAGTTTCTAGAACAGGCAGTATTATCGTATATAAGTGCGCTAGACAGTGAGAGAGG